CCCTGTATGTAAACTGTGAGAAATGCACTAGGTATTCACATATTTACAATCATCTAAAATGTATTTTTATACTCAGTAAGTCACAAATAACCCTCACCTGAGTGTTGGATTTTATTTTTAATCTGGCTATTTTGGAGCGATCAATGTCCTTTATGCTTATAGAATTAATGTCTCTCCCACATGTCATCTGCTCCTTAACCTCTGACATTCAGGAGAGAAAGAACCATTGTGTGTGAAGCCTGACTGAGGAGAAATTAGTGGAACCGACAAAACAAGTGAGGAGACTGAGGCTGTAGCTTTAGTGGTGAAGAGAGGGGGAACTTCACTGGTATGGAACTGGTTTGGTTTTAACATCCAACACTGACCAAAACACAATATTCTGTAAGTTCTGCAGTCGTGTCATGACAGTTATAAGTGGAAACAAGAGCAACATATTTAACCACCCGAAATCGAACCATGTTCACGAGTATGAGAAGGCAACACAAAGTCTTACCAGCTCAGGTGTTACCCAGGGGGCACGTCCTAAAGCACTCAGACAGCTGTCACTCCAGGCCCCATTCACCTCCTGTGCCACTGCCTGTGACCGAGGCTCAACAAAATGGAAGGACATTACGCGAGCAGTCGCAAATCACCTGGTAAAGGATCTGCTGCCAGTTCATACCATCAAGGAAGATTGTTTCAGAAAGCAGAGACACACCCCAAATATCAACAAATATTTCAGTTCAACTTAACTGCCGTAACTGTATATTGAATGTTGTGACAAAGTCAGGGAGGAAATCAGTAAAGGTGCTTTCTTGGCAAATACTGCTGTTTTATGGTCAAGCCAGACCACTGAGCCATACATCTGTCTAACTCTTCATAGAATCAGTGACTGAACCTCTGAAGCCCCATCCAAAACTTCACAGATGTCAGGGTAAGAATATGTCAGCGTGTCGTATGTGAAGCCAGTTCTCCATTTACTGAACTCTAAGATTTTGAAGCCAGAGGAGGTAAAGCAGGACTGAGTGAGGACATCGAGAAGAAGATCCTGGTTATTAAAATAGAAAACACAGTGATCCTGCAAACGAAAGGCTTGTAACCAAAGCAACATTCCTGGACCCCAGGTTCATGGCCGCCTACATGTCCACTGAGAAGCTGGAGGAGGTGGAGAACAGAACAGGAGCCACAGTTGAGGCCCTGGGGAAGAACATGGCCCCTGCTGTCTCTCCCTCAGAGGGCCAGACCAGGGCAGACAGAGGCTGATACTGATCATGCACATTCAGAGAAGCTGAGGAGCAGCTTAGGTTGCTTCTTCAAGCTGAGCATCAGTGCAGCACCACAGCCTGGGATTGCAGTGGAGCTGGACCTGCTGACTGTGGCAGCTGACAGTGAATCTCACCCAATGGGATCGATTGATCGATCGATCTATCTATCTATCTATCTATCTATCTAGTATACTGTTTTAGCAGTTAGGGGGCATATGAGTATCGTTTCATTGTAACTGTTCATTGGAGAAACTTCTGTAAAAAGTAATAAATATTCTGTCTGAATATTTGTATATTTGAATTTTTTAATATTCGGGTGCAAGGCCATTCACTGCTTTATAACTTAATAGAAGTATTTTGTAGTCAATCCGAGACTTAACAGGAAACCAGTGAAGGGAGCATAGAACAGGACTAATATGATCATATTTGTTAGTGTCTGTAAGAACTCTGGCTGCTGCTGATGTATAAAACTGTGTATCATCAGCATATTAATGGAACCCTACACCATGATTTATAATAATGGTGGTAGCATATATAAAGTGAACGGTAGTGGGCCCATCACTGATCCCTGTGGAACACCGTTAAATAGGAGCGAAACCAAGAGAGGGCTGTCTCCTTAATGCCAACCACAGATTCTAACTGGTCCAAGAGGATATTATGGTCCACATTATCGAATGCTGCAGTTAGATCGAGTAACACCAACAAAGATATACAGTCAGGGTCAGAAGCCTTCATTACTTTGATTAAAGCTGTTTCTGTGCTATGGTTTGGTCTAAAGACAGACTAATATAGTTCATTAGCAGTATTTTTCTGTAGGAAAGACGACAGCTAATGAACAACAACTTTTTTGCAGAATCTTTGAAATGAAAGGAAGATTTGAGATATGTCTATAATTTCCTAAATCACTAGGTTCAAGATTTGTTTTCTTTAGAACATGTCTAATAACAGATGTTTTAAAAGGTTTTGGAGCATATCCAAGCCTATTTATAGAAGAAAACCAGCCATCAAAGGTGTTCAAGCCTGGCGTGAGGAAGCCACCACATAACAGCGAGGGAGCCGTGTGTCTGTGACCAGCGTAACGATGGAAGCCAGGGAGCCGAGGAGAAAGAGGGTCTAGGACCACCTATGATCTCAAAACGGTTTCATTTATTCTTCCTAGAGAGCTATGAAATTTGTGTGAAACCAAAATGAGTCTATGACTTATTTCTCCCGACTCTCATTTTTACTCAAGCAAAAAGATACACAGAATCTCATGTCACCCTCCCTCTAAGTTTCATAAGAGATCTCATCGAGCTCTAAAATAGCTCTCAGACTGTCTCAACTTCGATGCTTCATTTTGAACTACGATGGTGACAGTAGAGAGCTCTCTGTATGAACTCAATCTGTCATCCCAGCCAGTTTGAAATACCTGTGTGATGTTGGCACCTACATGATCAGAAGTGAATGACCTCTGTTTGTTTGTGCAGCAAAAATACATGTTTCTGTTATACTGCTTTAGATATTTCAATTACAGATTCAGCTGCTTGAAGTACTGCTTCAACTATATACATTCAGGTATAGTAAAGTTTATCCTTTTGTAGCTTGTCAATGGGGTGTTGCAGTAGTGCAGTGGTTAGCACTGTCACCTCTGGGGCCTGGGTTTGAGTCTCTGCCAGGATTCCATGTGTGTGGAGTTTGCATGTTCTCCTTGTGTTGTCATAGTGTTTCCTCTGGTTTCCCCCCACAGACCAAAAACATGCTATGATGAACTGAAGTTACCATAGATCTAAGAGAATGGTGTGTGACTGTGCCCTGTGATGGGTTGGTGCCCTGTGATGGGTTGGTGCCCCATCCTGGGTTGTTTCCTGCCTTGTGCCTGTAGGATCCAGACCCCCTGTGGCCCTTAATAGGGCATGTGGTTTCAGAAAATGGATGGATGGATAGTTTGTCAGTTTTCTCTTTATCCTAAAATTCCAGGCTATATTTGGCCATCGTTTCCAAAGTGCTTGGACTGTGTGTATCATACTATGTTCATGTACGGCTATGAGGGGACAGCAAGCCAGGGCAGCAAGCAGCTCAGCTCCACATACAAACCTGAAGAGCAGGTTGGAGTCTCCACTGTGGCTCTATGGACGTGTGTCTTTTGGCTCCAGTATTGCTCATTACTAACAGCATCACTAAGGGCAGTTTAGATTAACCAATTAACCAAACTGCATTAATAAATAAAAACATTCAGTATAACTAATTATTGGATGGAGACAGATGTAATTATATCTTATGTATAAAATATGTAATTATTTCCTGCTCATTCAGAAAATTATTTTTATTTTATTTTTTACCTTCATTATCAAACGGAATGCAAATATTTACATACAATGTGATACAATTTTCTGTGTCTCCCTTTCAAAATATTGAAATAAAAAATTAATTTTGTTTATTCAGTAGGCACTTCTTTCCAAAAGGACAGTTTGCATATTTGTTCATGATTATAAAACCACGTTTTGACAGCTGCAGTCGATATTCACAGATTTATTTGTTCAAAATGACTTAGAATGGAGGAGCTGGGAGCTGAGTCACATGACCCCTGCAGCTATCAGGGCAGACAGGAGCCTGATTGTCAGAACCACACGCTATTCAACGTGGATGGATTTTTTTATTATTACTTACACACCAGGGGCGTTGCTAGAGATTTTGGGCCCCATGAAAGCATATCATATTAGGCCCCCCAGTCCAAACCAATCCAGTTATTTTCCTAATTTTTTAGGGCCCCTGTCACTCCTAGCTTTCCTCCCCCTTACGGCGCCCCTGTTACACACTTCCAGACTCAACACCACTAAAAGACAATGTTCAGGATTATTTATTACCAACAACAATTGTGATTAGATTACGTGAAAAAGACGTCACATCATTTCACATTAATTCTAAAGGAACCAAATTCACAACTTGCCCAGAAAAATAAATGGCATATAGACAGCACTGCATGTAAACCCTGCAGGAACGGTGCCAGATACTCACTTATTTAAAAGCATTTTTAATATATTTTTCTACACAGTAAGTCACCAATAACCCTCAGCTGAGTGCAGGGGTGCTGTAAAGGGGGGGAAGGCAGGACAATTCCCAGGGCCCCTGAGTGACAAGGCCCTAAACATTCAGAACATAACTGGATTGGTCCGGCTGGGGGGGCCCAGTATGATGTGGTTTTATGGGCCATAAAATCTCTAGCAGCCCCCCTGTCTGAGTATAACTATGTAACTAAGATTAGAAGTTATATCAGGTCATTAATAATGGTTTCCTGCAATAATGAAGCTCCAGTCAAAGCTCACATGTATCCTGATGTTCTGTTACACTGTTTCATACGTTTATCAGCTACGTTCCACATTCTATTAGCCATCGTCCTGTTTGCTGTTTCTTTACTATTCGTGCTCATTGCCACAAGAAGCAGTAATGTTACGTTCAAACCTGAGCCTTCGAGGCGTGTTTGGGGTAAGAAGGGGCGTGTCTCGCTTCGAGGGATGTATTATTCTCAGAAAATGATGTGATCGCTGACTAATGAAGCCTCGCTTCCCAGTGGGACATCCTCTTGATTTGTTTCAAGTTTCGGATTGTCGATACAAGCAAGTAAAGCCCTGTAGGGTTTCTAGACTGTATTCGCTGGTTTAAGGATTTTGGGGTGTTGTGTGAAAAGGTCACTATTGGTAACTGCAGTTTTTGAGGAGTCTTCAGTCTCAGTCCAAGCACAGATTGTATTTCTTAATAAAACACACCATCATTGTATCATTTTAAAATACTTTTAACTTGATATAAAAGTATAAAAATGAAAAGAAATACAGCAACAATAATTATGAAAAATTTGCAATGTCACTGTTGGTTAATGAAATAGATAGTTATATAACAGACTCAGTGGCATTAAATCACTATATGTTTCTGTAAAGTAATGGTTTGAATGCTTTGAAAGATGGAATCAATTGTGTCAATTCTCTATCTCTCAGAAGCCCCATTTTTCCATCACCTTTTTCAACAACAGGGGTCATTAGTGTACACTGTTCAAAGAACATTAAATGAGTAACGATCAGTGTGTCTCACACACAGGGTCACACAGGCGTCCTCACCAGCAGGCTGTGCGGCATTTAAAGAGACGGATCATGATAAAAACAGACTGCAGTGCTGCACAGTGACAGAGCAGAGCAGCTATAAAACAGCTTTATAAAATTAGCTTTAGCTGCTAATACAGTAACTTACAGAGAGAGAAATAAACCTGCACTAATGATCCTTCCTGACCGTCAGTCACTGATTCATTTTCGGAACTGGATTACATGTATTCTGCTATAGATAGTTTTAGTCTCGTGACTGCAGCTGATTGTAATGCAGCTATATGCTTAGGATTAAATAAGAATAGATATTGTATTGTATTATATTGTGTGTGTATCTGGTTTTATAATCATTTAATCTTGTCTCAGTTGCCTTCTGGTACAGAAGGAGATGAACCTGAAATCAAAATTAGACAGAAATGAGAAGAAAATGCCCTGAATGCAACTGGAGGACAAATTAGACAAAATGAATAAAACAAACTCATTATGTACATGCTGATTGTGCACCTGAGTACATATGGAAAAGTTCCACAAATTATGAAATTGAAAATATTTGCAGAATTTCTGCAGACTTTATGTAGCTAAAACTAAAAAACTAAACAGAAAATTCCAGTGTGAATTTCACAGTGACACCACAGATATAGGCACTGGTGTGGGATCTATATAATGTTGTTTATTAATGTTTGACAATGACTTCTTATTGGAGGGATTAATCACAGCTGAGCAGAACTGTCCTGTAACTGAGTCAGTCTCAGGATGTCCAGGGGGTTTGGTTTAACTGGGGTTTGGTTTAACTAAGTACAAATTTGGTCAGAAGAGAAACTCAATACAGAATGAAAAATCTGTGCAATTTCACAGTCAAGCACTGTGATGGCATGGCCATCAAACCAGGTTCTGGTGCTTCTGGTGGTATGGGCAGGGGCATACACACTGCATATACAGATCCTCAGCAGAAGGAATCATGAAGTCCTCTAAAACATTCTGGTAGACTGTTGCGGTAACCTTGGATTTAAGAAAGCAGAGTTTACCAACACCTGCACCGGACATTGCACCCTAAATCATGACTGACTGGGGATATTTCACACTGGACCTCAAGCAGCTTGGGTTCTGTTCCTCACCCGTCTTCCTCCAAACCCTTGGACCTTGATTCCCGAATGAAAGACACACTTTACTTTCATTGGAAAAGAGGACCTTGGACCACTGACCAACAGTCCAGTCCTTCTTCTCCTTGGCCCAGTTGAGATGCTTCCGACATTGGCTCAGGTTCAGAAGTGGTTTGACCTGAGGAACCCGACAGTTGTAGCCCATCTCCAGCCCATCTGCCAGATTCTTGAATCTTCTCTGTTTGATAATCCGCTGAAGCCCACGGTCATCTTTTCTGCTGGTGCATCTTCTCCTGCCACATTTTGTCCTTCCACTAGACTTTCCATTGATATGCTTGGACACAGCACTCTGTGAACAGCCAGCCTCCTTAGCTATGAACTTTTGTGGCTTACCCATCCTATGGAGGGTATCAATGATGCTCTTCTGGCCAGTTGTCAAGTCTGCAGTCTTCCCCATATTGAACCTAACTGAGACAATTGAACCAAAGTGAAGCAATTTAATGACACCTGGGAAAACCTGTGCAGGTGCTTTGAGTTTAGTAGATGAGTTGTGTGTGACACTCAGTTTAAAACATTCATGCCCTGTAAAATTTGGGCTGATGTCTTTACAGTATTCTAATTTTTTTTATTCCTGTTTTCGTGGGTTTTATGAGCCGGAAGCCCAAATTATGTACAAACAAACAACTAAGTACTTGAAATCTTTTAAGTTGTGGGCCCTGACTCTATAAGTTTAATTTGAATTGAATTATGGAAATAAATAAACTATTCCATGATATTCTAATTTTTTGGAAAGGGTCTGTATATAAACATAATTGCATTGATCCCCATGAGGAAATTGTCTTTACACTTCCCTCAACTTGCTCTTTATTTTGTAGTGTAAGCTGTCCATGAAGGGCAGTCACCTGTAGTAGCACCCAGGGAGCTGGGGGTTAAGGACTTTGCTCAAGGACCTGCAGAGATGCTGAGGCTGGGTTTGAACCAGCAACCGTCTGATTACAGGCACACAGGCTTAGCTCACTGAGCCACACGCTGTCCCCCCTTAACATGCTGCCCCAATGTTTCAGTGTGGACACCATTGTTCTCTGCGAGTCAGAGTCCGTCGGCTTTTCTGTTACCTTTTTGCAAAACGCAGCGCACTGCTCACCCAGCCGATGATGATGTCCCAGGAAATGCCTCCTAAAATAAGGTTAAAGCACCATGTTCACCCCTGACAGTGGCGCCCAT